TTAAAGTGGCAGAGTATTAGCCTTGAGCAAAAGAGACAGTGCCTAGGTCTTGAGTTTAAACCCTATAATGACAAAAAAATTGTTTCTGTTTCACAGTCTGTGTACAGAGGAAAAGAATTACTGTGTACAATCTTTAATATTATAATTTTTTTTTGGTCTGTCATGGGGCTTGAACTCTGGCCCTGGGCACTGTCCCTGAGCTCTTCAGCTCAAGGCTTGTGCCCTATACAATCTTTAAAGAAGAAAATTTTGATAGCTTGTTCAACCAACAGGAAAGAATATCTAGATTTTTTGGTTCCCATATAGATGGCATTTATCTGAAATATTCAAATGGCTGCCTTTACTTGATATTTTCTAGTAACACTTTATATATAACTGTAATTACTGATTAAGTTCTTTTTACTGCTCTCCCACATTCCCACCCCCAGTTTTGGAGATTAAACACTGTGGCTTTTTTTTTTTTTTTTTTTTGCTAGCCCAGTGTGTACCACTGAAATATAGCCCCTAGTTCTTACTTAATTATGTGTGTTTGTGTGAATGTGTGTGTATGTGCCAGTCCAGGGGCTTTTGCTCAGGGCCTGGGCAATGTCCCTGAGATTTTGTGTTCAAGGCTAGTATTGTTCTACCACTTTGAGCCATAGTGCCATTTCTGGCTTGGAGATAAGAGTCTGACAGGCTTTCCTGCCTGGCTTTGAACTTTGATCCCAGCTTCCTTTGTAGCTGGCTAGCTACAGGTGTGAGCCACAGACACCCTGCTCCTGTTATATGGGAACTTAATCAGTGAGATACAGAGAAGCCACACTTTTTGAGGTTGAATCTGGACTCCTTATTAGAAAGCCAGTGTTTGCAAGTGGACTAGTATTCTAAAGAACTGGCAGTCCAGAATGTTCTTAGCATGAGCCTTTTTTTTTTTTTGGTCGATCCTGGGTCTTGAACTCTGGGCGCTGTCCCTCAGCTCTTCAGCTCAAAGTGAGCGCCCTAGCACTTGAGCAACAAGGCCACTAATGATTTTCTGGTGGTTAACTGGAGATGAGACACCGGCACCCAGGAGCTAGAGCCTTATAAAGGCTAAAACCAAGCTGGGTACTGGTGGCTCACGCCTGTAAACCTAGCTACTCAGGAGGCTGAGATCTGAGGATCACGGTTCAAAGCCAGCCCCGGCAAGAAAGTCCGAGAAACTCTTATCTCTAATTAACCACCAGAAAATCAGAAGTGGCACTGTGGCTTAAGTGGTAGAGTGCTTGCCTTGAGTTGAAGAGCCGAGGGACAACACCCAGGCCCAGAGTTCAAGCCCCATGACTGACCCAAAAATTTTTTTTAAAAATTAAAGCTGGGGCTGGGAAGGTGGCTCAGTGGTAGAGCGCTTGCCTTGCATGCCTGAGGCCCTGGGTTCGATTCCTCAGCACCACATAAGCAAAAATAAAAAAGCCGGAAGTGGCGCTTTGGCTCAAGTGGTAGAGCCCTAGCCTTGAGCTGAAGAGCTGAGGGACAGCGCCCAGGCCCAGAGTTCAGGCCCCAGGCCCCACGACTGGACCCCCCCAAAAAAATTAAAGGCTAAAACCACATCAAGGCAGATGCCACTAGGTATGGAGATTAGCAAAGTGTGTTTACAGAAGCAGAACAAACCAGTTATCGGTTAACTTAGGGAAGCAGTTAGGGTTTGTAAGTTAATTAGGAGGGACAATCTGGCATAGAGATTTATTGGAATCCAACAGTCTTAACAATCAGGGGTAAAGGATAGGGATTTCTTGGAGTCTAACAGTCCAGGGTACAGCTGCAATTCTCAGAATGACCTATGCCCCATTTATAGTTCAGAATTGAGTGAAATGTCCGTTACCTATTAAGTCATTAAAATGGCAGTAGGGATAAGATGGCACTACTTAGGCCCAGTATCTATATTTCATTTCATTCCTTCCTAATCTCTTGTTAAAATTTTCTTCTGCCAGGTGCTGGTGGCTCATGCCTATAATCCTAGCTACCCAGGAGGCTGAGATCTGAGGATCATAGTTCAAAGCCAGCCCAGGCAGGAAAGCCTGTGAGACTCATATCTCCAATAAACCACTCAGAAAACTGGAAGTGGCGCTGTGGCTCAAGTGGTATTACACTCACCTTGAGTGGAAGAGCTAAGTGAGGGACATTACCCAGGCCCAGAGTTCAAGCCCACAACTGACAAAAATTTTTTTTTTCTTCTTCTTCTTTCCCCCCAGATTAACCTCAGTTATAGAACTTTCTTGTTTGAAAGTCATAATCTGCAGGATGCAAGAGTAGGGAAAATGTGAAGGTTATGAAGTAGAAACATTTCAGCCAGCTCTAAAGAACAAGGTTTTTCTGTGGACAAGGCCAGGTTTGACATCACCATGTAAAAAATATCACTTTTCAAAGGGAATGAAATGGTATTTTGATTCTATGTTTAACATCTGCTCATTTAGTCCCTCCCTCCCTTCTTTCTTTCCATTAGGTGGGCTGCATTGTTCAACAAATCTGCAAAGTCCATGAGACTCCTATGTCCAATTAACCACCAAAAAGCTGGAAATGGAGCTGTTGCTCAAGTGAGCATTAGCCTTGAGCAAAATAAACCCCAGAGGACAGTGCTCAAGTCCCAGGACTGGCACAGAAAATAAAGAATACTAAGGACATGAGTGCCTGTAGTCCATGCCTATAATCCTAACTAGTACTTAGAAAGCTGAGAGCTGGAGGGTCATGGTGGTAAAGTTTTCAGAGATTCCATCTCTAAAAAAAATCAGCAATAGGGGCTAGGAAGGTGGCTCAGTGGTAGAGCGCTTGCCTTGCATGCATGAGGCCCTGGATTTGATTCCCCAGCACCACAAAAGCAAAAAGAAAAAAAGCTGGAAGTGGCACTGTGGCTCAAGTGGTAGAGTGCTAGCCTTCGAGCTGAAGAGCTGAGAGACAGCGCACAGGCCCAGAGTTCAGGCCCCACGACCCCCCCCAAAAAAAAATCAGCAATAACCGTGCTGGGGGCATGATTAAAATGATAAAACACCACCTCTGAGCAAGGAGCAAGCTGTAGGCTCTGAGTTCAAACAGTAAGATCAGAATGACCTTTTTCAACAGGTACCTGCTATTTACACAAAGGAAAATTACTGAATAATCTGGGAAAGTGAAGTTCATTCAGATTTTCTGGTGGTTAATTGGAGGTAAGAGTCTCACAGACTTTTCTGATCAGGCTGGTTTTGAACCGCCATCCTCAGAACTCAGCCTCCTGAGTAGCTAGGATTACAGGCATGAGCCATGGGCACCTGGCTCCCAGGCTGGCTTTGAACTGGTATCCTCAGACCTAAGCCTCCGGAGTAGTAGTAGGCTGGCTGACATCAAGGACTTTTTTTTCTTTTTGTTTGTCATAGGGCTTGAACTCAGGTCCTGAGTGCTGTGCCTAAGCTTTTTTGCTTAAGGCCAGTGCTCTACCACTTTGAGCCACTTCCTTATCCAGCCTTTTTATGTTTCTATTTCAGTGGCTGCTACATAGTGGGGCTTAGTGACTATTTGGTGAAAGAATAAATTCTTTTACTATCTTGGAATTAGTGTAAAAATGATAGAATTATGTCCTTGCTCTTTTAAGAGTTACAAATGTATATACATCTTTAGAAAAGATTCTTTTTTATATTTTATTTATTTATTTTTGGGTCCGGTAGTGGGGCCTGAACTCTGGGCCTGGGCGCTGTCCCTCAGCTCTTCAGCTCAAGGCTAGCGCTCTACCACTTGAGCCACCTCCGGCTTTTTTCTTTTTTGCTTATGTGGTGCTGAAGAATTGAACCCAGGGCCTCAGGCATGCAAGGCAAGCACTCTACCACTGAGCCATCTTCCCAGCCCCTAGAAAAGATACTTATATGTAAACCAATTTATTGTCAAGCACTTCTCAGCCAAGTTCTAGGTCACTGACAAATATTCTGCTTTCGATCCACTCAACTTAAGACCGCTTTTCTGCTTTTGTCTCTGGAGGGTACATAACAGCATACTCAAGTTTTCTTTATCTAGGGATGCCTGATGTTTCTTCCGGTGGAAATCAGACCAGCTTGTTCACTCATTCCTCTTTTGGCTGTTAAAACATTTCATAACAAAGCCTCCCTCATCCAATTGAACGATTTAAGATTTTTATCAGGAAAAACAAAAAAGGGAAAAAAAATTCCGAACTGCTGTGGTTTCTTGAAACCATTTCCCATTTAAAAGAAATTTCAGAATCCTGTGGGATGTAAAATTCCCACCATCCATCAAGACCTGTTCATTTATTCTTGCTTCCAGCTTGCAGAATTCGAGCCAATATGAAGTGTTTGCAGGGCAAACCTATCAGATGCCCACTCTATCTCATAATTGATACCTCATCATCTTTTTCGTAGGCAAACATCATTGAAAAGGTCCTTGGCTTTGTAGTCAGAGCCTGGCGGAAAAAACAAACACGTTGAAGTCAAGCCTTCCATCTGGTTTCAGACTGGGTTGGTTTCATGCAGATTCTGTGGCATCTTCCCAGACTGATCTGTTTTACGGCTCTGACCTTGCTTCCCAGGCAGATTCTGGAAGAAAATCAGGCTTCTTTTAGGTAATTAGGTAATTGCCTGCACATGGACTTACAGAAATAGTCGCCATTGTGCGAACTGTCCTTGCAGCACAACTGACGAGAGCCCAAGGACGGGCACCGAGGTTGACGCAGAGGTGCACGCACAGCCGCAGCGCCTACCCGTGGTGACGCCGCTCCACCCCCTCCCGTGGAGCTCCGAAACGGCTCCCGACCCCCGACCTCCGGCCCCTCCCACTCGCCGAGCCGCGGCGGGCACTCGCCGGCTGTTCCATCCTGTACACCTCCCTCCGCCGAGCCCGCCTTGTCCTGGGTTCCTCCCTATTTTCCCGACCTGCCCTGCGCGAGCTGCAGCTGTTCTCCAAAGTGCCCCCTCCCCGGAGCCGGGACTCAGAGCGCCGCTGCGCCCCGCCCCTACCCCCCTCCCCGCGCAAGCAATCGTCCCTTACATCCGGGTACCGACACCAGCCGTCCGGACTCTGGCACTATGGTCATGGCGGAGGGGACGGCAGTGCTGAGGCGGAATAGGCCGGGCACGAAGGCACAGGTACCATCTCGGCACCTTTTCGGCAGGGAGCTGTCGGTGCCGAGGCACACGGCTCCGGCTAGCCGGCGATCGACGAGGGGAGACCGGGCCCCCGCGGAAGGCGGGCGGGCGGGCAGGGACGTTGGTGC